ACAATGCTTACCGATGTAGGAATACAAGATACCAGAGGGATCATTTCTGCATACCCAATTCAGAAGTAAGGATCAAGTGCAATTGATTCCATTGCTGCTTTATATACGCTCTACAGACATCTCTGAATTTATTGTGCCAAAGCAGGAGAAACACTGTGCAAATAACACGTTCACAGGGAGAGGAAGGGCCAGATCAACAGAACGCATCTTAATCTTAAGGAAATGGGTGTTGTGTCCAAATTATAACCAAGCCTCAAAGGTGGAGTACCAGACCAAAAACTCAGGCAATAGAGATATTTCCCTTTGATTATAATGAAATAATACTTAGGTGTATAGCAACGCAAGGCATCAGTAGTCAATTCTGCACACCCAGTTAGGAAGTAAGGCACCTGCCAAATCAGCTGATTTAACCGCTCCCTTGCATAGAACCTAACATCTCTGTCTATTTTATCACGTTATCAAATATGAGCAACTGCAACAGTTTCTTACACAGCCCTACACGTGAAGTCAAGTACTGCGCTAAAGCTGCTGCTACTCTGATGTCCAGATAACATTGATTAACTATCATTAGTTTGTGTTTATACCCTTTGGTTCCCTGGAACAATCTTGTGTTTGTAACTTTGGGAGGCACTGCCAAAATCCACATTTTCTCTAACAACTTTCAAGATGAAGCTTCCAGAGAACATATCTAATGTTTTATTTCCACAACCTAATTATACAAACGTCCTTGTCCTAAGTCACCAAACAGCCTACTCTACAAAAGTAACAATCAATTAGAAGAAATATGGGTATGGTCATGGCTTTGGTAACTACCTGTTAGTAATATACTAGTTGTATTACCGGAAGTAATTGATATTATCAAAATTTATTTGCCACAGTATTAGCAGCTGGAAAGCACCCAAAACAATAACACATGAGGACTTTGCCTTGCTTTCTGGTGGGAAATTCTAGTTCCTGTTAAAAAAAGCTGCTTTCTGAGTCACCTAGTGTAGGTTGAGGCTAGTGTAGGTTTGTCTTTGGTAAGTATTAGTTGCTAAGCCTTATACTCTTCAGCTTCCTTAACATTCATACCAGAACCTGTGACTGTAACACTCTTTTAAGTGCTCTAAATTTACTAAATAAAACACCCAATTGTGTGGATTACTGGAACTGGTCCATTAATTAGATCAAAGTTTGCTGATCAGAGTTTGAAGTCAATTTCAAAACAGGACGTTGTTTTAAAGTGACTAAGATGTCAAAGGACAGACATTAAATACATATCTGCTCATATGAACTCAAAGTAACTCAGACATACTCTGAAACGGAATGAAAAGAAACCTAGTTTTATCTGCTTTTAGTTTGTCAGCTTCTGAAAGTCAGTCTTACATATCCATGCAGTTGGGTTAGATTTAAGAATTCAGTGTAACAGTATTCTTCCAGAGGAGGAAAAATATCAGTAACTTAAGTACTTAGGTTTCAAGACCTAATACGTAGCCTTGCTGGTGTGCTAGGTGTTTTCTTGAAAAACAAAGACTCCCAGAAGATATTTCATAGAGAGGTACTGACTCACCATCAGCATGGAACAAAGAACAATTGATTACCATCAGAAATAATGACCTTCAGCATATTGCATCACGTGAGGATTTTGCAGTAGTGCAAACAAGCACCTCAGCCAAAATAAAAGCCTGAACAGATGACGTTGAGCAGGGTGTAATTTACGTTTGTGAGACAGTATTAGTAGATGAGAATTTAAAATCTCTTCAAGCTTCCTTGCAGTTCAAAGCCCATCATTAATGAAGACAGCAAAGCAACAACTGGAGACAAACAGTGGTACCCACTGCTGTTCCAGAATACAGCCACACTACTGCCATCAAATTAACTTGACTTGTGGGAAGGTACCTGAATGGCTTTTATACCAGCAGGCTGGCCTGCGCTGTAGCGGGCCGCTTGCAGCATGACAGCGTTGAACTATGGGCGTAACTATCAAGCCTGCACATAGTCAGCTAGACCAGAACTTGTCTCGTCCTGGGTTACCAAGAGAAAGAACAGCGCAAGTTTTAGTTACGGACTAGACAAAAGACTGTCTAAAAAGATGCACCACACCAGTCAGTGAGCTCACACATGGTTATCTGGCAGCCCAAGTCACTGTAGGATCCTAATTTTTCTGGAGTCCATATCACTGTGCATCTCACTAAGTGACTGACAACCTGAACCTTCATAGAATCGTTAAAAAAAGAAAAGATGAATTTCAAGGGGAGTAGCTGCACGATCGTAAAACAGCTCACTCACATTTGGCATTTGATCTAGCCACTAAGTTAAGGGAATAATACCTGGCAGATCAATGAATTTGTTTCTGAAATCTCTAAAGCAACAATACAAAGCCAGAACATTCCTCAGACTGACACTGCTCCCTCTGCCTTGGAGGGATATTAGACTTTGGAGGTAGAGGTCTGGAGGAGAGAAAGGAACCCCCCCTCCCCCCCCCCACACACACCCCAAAGTCCATTTCAGCAGTTTCAGTATTGAAAAGTTTTTGGAGAACTTTGAGAACACAGAGAACTGTGAAGTGTTAGACTAGATAAAACTGCACTGAGCATTTACTGGCTACTTTAAGAACTAGGAGCTTTAAAAGGTTTTGATTGCGTTGGGTTGAGTTGGTTGGCAAAATGAAAGAAGACTTTTCCCAGATTCCCTCTGCATCTTGAAAAGTAAGTACTGCAAGCAGCTTTAAGGCTCTTTCAGGCTTTTCCTGAAGCTGCCATGAAAAAGAAAATAGAAGGTTGCGCACCATTAAAAAAAGTCACCTTACATTAATGCGCTTTTAGGATATTATATGACGCCAATACTGGAAATAGTGTGTTAGGTTAAATGATTAATAATCTAACAGCTAAGACTGTGTCTGCCCCAGTCTAGATTCATCTTCTCTGGCCTCAGCAATTGCCCCAGACATCATGAAAGCTTGTGGAATACAATCATCTGAGGAGAGGGATATCAAACCTGCTTTTGATAGTCTTTCACTCCAGAGAAGGCACCAAGCACTGCCTTTTTTCCACATAAACTAACAAAGCTGTTGGATTTTTCCAGCAAGACTTGTGAACACTTTTGGTGATTGCTACTGCCTTAGCGGCTTCCAGACTTGACAATGACACTGCATTCATGTCTGCATTCCAGACATTATAAACTAGACTCTCCCTGGTTACTTGATATGTATCAAGTTTATTCTGAATCAAGAGCCCCACCCAGTAAGTCAACCCCAGAGGAAATCCACAGACTATACTGAACTACTATACTAGTAAGACTCCTAATCCTGAGCTCAAAGACACTGTTATTGACAGTCATTACTTCATTCCCTATCAGGACTGCAGAGGGAACGAAACACCTTTTTAATACGTGGTATTTGGACGGGAAGTTACCAGGGATGGTGTGTCAGTACTTAAGAGCAGGGTAAGCAGCATCACATGCATTTACAAACAGGTGTCCTACAAGCCTTATCAAACAGTTGCAATCAACATTACATTGGATTTTCGCTAAATCATTACCAAAGATGAACCTAGGTTCAGGTAGGTGGGATTTTTTTTTTTAAACAAAGATTGTGGAAACATGAACTCTCCATAGGAGGCAACTGCTTAGAACTCAAGAAGTTAATGGTACAGAAGTGATCTGATAAATCAGGTCTCAGCCTCCAAGATATTAGTGCAGTTCACAGGAGCCTACAAAAACTTGAGAGGTGATAAAATTAACTGGTGGGCTTCAAAAACATGAATTACCAGGAGAAGAAAAGAATGCTTATCCTTTCTTTCTGCAGCTAGAGACTACAAAGATTTCAGCAGCGTAGTCTAGTAAGAAATAAGTCTAAACTCCACATAGGTTCAATGAAACCAGCACAGTCGAATTCAGCTAGCTGGGAACCAAGCTGAGGTGAATGTGCTGCTCAGGCACTCCAGGAAGGGGATGCACCTTGATTTTTTGTATCAGTGTGAGGAAAATGGCATTTCAAGACGGTAGGTAAAAATCACAAACCCTGATAAACTAACATTTGACATAGCCGTACGTCACAGGACCATCAGGAACAGTAGCTGAGCTTCATTGATCAAACATCAAGTGATTTTTTTTCAAGAAACACCAAGCAGGTTTTCATATGATATATTTCTGTAGATTTTAATATACTGACATATGAAAACAGCCATTTCAGTTCACCGGAAACAAATTTTTTAACTTTACCATAAAAAGGCAAAATAAACTCTTTCACTATAATGTTATAGCTTTCAATATTCCTGAGCTGCATTTCAGAAGCAAAAGTATTCTTAAATTGATTTAACAAGAGACACTGCAGCCTTACTTTCCAACACCGCAAGTAAAAAATAATTTAGCAAGAAGGCCCCTTTCAAAAGGTAATTGCTAGCTCTGTACGTACCTGAAAGAAAAGGCTCCAAGTGACTCTCTGCCATCTGAAGCAATTACAAAGCCAAATAGGTCAACAAAAATAACAGAACAACTTTTCAACCATTTTACCACTGCTTCTTACTTCCCACACCAGTGTGCCTTTCTTACATGGAAAGAATTGCTATATAAATGGCATTACATACCAGAATAATTTGGGCCACAAAGTTTGGCACCATACAGATAAATGAAGGAATCATAGCTGTTTAAAAGATATCCTGCACATCTTTTTAGTCAGTTTTAAGAACTATACAAAAGTACGGCTCACTGGCTCAATCAGCAAAGCCTCTATTTTGTTACATAGGATTTCACAGAATGCATCAGAAAGCATTTTATATTAAATCTGTATGTATGTTATAGCTCGTCACACCTGGAGTTCCTGTAACTGGCACCCATGTACCTCTTGATCCCAATTAGGTGATGAAGAGATGAAAAACTAAATTAATTTAAAAAAAGATATTTTAAAAAATTGAAAATCAAGAAAACAGGCTGGCTTTTAGGAACTATAGGAACTCAAGCACAGGTGGCTATACCTACATTATGGGAAAAACCTAGAAAGAGATAACAAAGCACAAAGAAACTTCAACATAATCAGGCATCTATTTTCTTAGTTTCAGGAACTAGATGCAAGTTAGACACTGGTTGAAACAAGTGTTTTCTACAGTAGTCACACCAATGAGGTCTGGTTTACAACCTTCTGGTCCTTGTGTTCGACCACAGCCTTTCCAAACGGCCGAGGCCTCCGCTACCCACTCCAAGTACTCCTTTGCTTACTCAGTGATCTCCTCCGATATCTTCGTTTCTTGCTCACACTTCTGTGGCTACGGCTTCTCTCTCTTCTGTCCCTTTTCCGTTCCCTACTGCGAGTTCTTCTATAACGGGACCGTCTGGGGCTTACGCTTCTTCGGCGAGGACTATAACTTCGTCGAGGGCTGTAACTTCTGCTAGAGCGTCTATATAACCTCCTTTCTTTCCTACGCTTTTCATCCTGATAACTCACGTCTCTTCTGTGTTTGCTCCTTTCTCGTTTACCCTTACTCTCATCAGTGTTTATGCTGCTACACGAACGGCTCTTTCTTCTCCTTGACTCCGTGCTACGTTTGCCTTGCTCACAGTGCGAGTCCTTCCTGCAGGTATTCTGGTCATAGCTAGAGACACTTTGCTGCTGCTGGCTATTGGCAGGAATACATGAAAGCGCTCCTGAGCTTCTTTTCTCAGAATACCTCTCAGAGTTTGCCGTATGAAGTTTCTGGCCTTCTTTGATGTGACCTCTGTCATGAATATTGCCATTCAAGTACTTGCATTGAGTATTTATACTCTCAGGGGATACAGCTTCTTTCTGACAGCCGGGAGCTAGCTGGCCCGCAACAGCTTGTCCGGAGGTAGAAGTGATGCAGCTGGATGACACAGTGTGTGGAACACTACCAGCAGGTTTTTGCATACCAGATTGAGATGCTTCTGTTTCTTCTTTGTTTTGATGAGCTGCATCCATTTTCTTGCTCAGAAGATTGTTCAGTAGTTTCTCCCTCAGTTCCTTTTCTCTTCGCTGCAATCCCAGTGCTCTCTCTTTTTCCTCTTCCACACGTCTGAGCTCAGCCTCCTGCAGCTTTCTTCTCTCCTCTAACTGCTGAAGACGGATCTTTTCTTCATTATGTTCCTGCTCCAAAAGCTTTACCGTCTGAAAAATAGTCAAAAAGAAGGCGAAAGTAAATGAGAAAATATTTGTAAACCTACTGGTCTTTCCAAGTTGTATCACAACATGAAAGCAGCAATGCGGCAAAAAACCAAAATATCTTGCATAAAGAACTTAAGCCTCTCAAAATAAAAGTATCCCCCTGCCCACCAAGAAAAAAGAATGCTCTAACATACAGTTGCCGTAAGGTGAAACACTAATATTAATCCACAAACTCTTGTAAAGTGTTAAATTCTCTTAGCAGTTTCACAATGCAAGGATTAAGGAGCAATAAAGACTAAGCTTTATCTGAAAAACGTAACACACAAGCTAGAGCAACGTGAAATTTGAAGTACTAAAATACATTTCTCAGGGTCAACAACTGAAGGTTTTAGTAAAATTTAAAACATGAATTTCTCTTAGAGGTTTCCAATCTGTGATTCACAGATCACTTTACAATGTGGTTATAAAAGGTAACAAACAATTAAACACATGCATGTTACACAAAAATTGATTTTCATTTTGTCAATCACTTTAGAAATCCATGATGCTAAAAAGCAAGGTTTAAACATTTCTTTTTTATTCTGCCCCAGACAAACCGGCTCAGTGCAGTCCTCAAAATTCTGGGTGTGAACGAAACAGATGACTACTGTCTCAAATAGCCTCTCTATTTTACAACTGGAAAGTTACAACACCTGCACAGTATTTCTCCTCTCTCCTAACACATAACTAACCACACAGCACCACGTAAGCTCTAATTCAAAACCAGTCCAGAGATATACTGGCATCAAACAACATAACTGTTTTGCCATACCCAAAAAAATACTTAACATAAATTACATCACACCAGCATGACTTCATCAAAGTCTTACGCAAATTATCTCCTGTTTTAGTGAAAGACAACAGTAATACCAGTAGAGAGATAAGACTGTAACATCCAAAGCCTTAGCTGACAGTACTTTTTTTGTAGAGGAAAATGTCCATTCTGCACATTTTCAAACATCAGCTAATGAAACTTCATTCTTTCTAACTGAGAGGAGTAGTTAATGGAACTGATGAAGGCCACAAGGGAAACAGCATCAAAACTGAAATTCTGAATCGGGAATTTCACATTTTATCCTCTGTGTTTAATTCACTTTATCATGCTTACACATTCTTATTCTGGACTGAAGAGCAAGGCTGCCAATTAATATACATGTTGAAAAATGTTATTCAGGACTATAGGTTCAATCTCACTCTTCACTTTATGTACATAGGCATTTTTTACAAAGGGCAAAATACTGTTTCATTGTACTGTTTTGAATCTGCAGTCTAAGGTATAGCAGTTGGAGAGGTACTAAATCTGCTGCTTAATGAATAACACTCCCCCAAGTCAGTAAAAGGCTTTGTTCTGCTGGATTCTTCATTAGCTTCTGAAATAAATATTCAAGTTACCTTTGCCCTGCTTAGCAGTTCTGCAATTAGTCTAATGGACTGAAGATTTCTCTGAGCTAACAGGAGCTTCCTTTCTTCTAGCTTTATTTTCTCTTGCAGTTTTTTCTGCTCTTCAGCTTGTATTTTTTCAAGTTGCTTTTTGTTTCTTCGAACTTCCCGATCTTTCTGTTTCTGCTCTCTCTTGCGCAACTTTTCTTCTCTTTTTTTCTCTCTCTCATACTCTTCAAGCTCTCTCTGCTTCCTAAAAAGAGATTAATATTCTTACTTTTTAACCATTACTTATGATGGTGAAATAAAAGTAATTGTCAGCTTACCATTACTTAAAAATAAGCTGTAATCCCAACATGAAACACGGCTAAAACAAAAATATTGTTTCTTTTTTAATTGATTAGACCACAACAGTGGTGCATCAGGCAACTGGGCAGTCAAACATCAAGAGGAGAATTAGAAATGAAGCCAACTGTGTGTGGGTTGCTGTTTATTTCAGTCATTACAACAAAATGGTAGCTTATGCAAAAGAGGAAGGGTTTTTGAGATCAGACATCAAATGGCACAATTTTTAAGAATATTCAGTATTCTGCAGATTTAATGTAATGTAAGCATTGTGATAACCTAAATAACCTTATTGAGAAAATACTTTTGCTTCAGTATGAAGTTTACATCACAGTTGCTGAAAGCGTTTAATATCTAAAACCTAAGCAATGAGAATTTGTACACATCAAGGCAACTGGACATCATACAATCTCTGAAACAATTTGCTCCGTTTAAATTTATATTCTGAATATCTTTTGCTGTCTTGTAACATTGGTACATCCATGTACAATTTCTTAAAGTTACGTTGTAAAATTTGCTTATATCCCATCCCTCTCCTGGAAAAAAATATCAATGTTATGAGCAAATAAGCTTTATAATATGAGCAGTCTAGTAAGTTACTTACTAGAACTAGTGCATAATTTTCTATTTTCCATTTACAATGCACATTTGCTTCAGCACAACTATATATTATGTAGTTTTCCAGCTCTTGGAATTACATTTACACACACATACAAAGTTTAAAAAAAAAAACAAAAAAAACCAACCTTGTTTATCTCCAAGTCTGGTAATACCTGAACTCTACGTCCTCAAAAAAATCATTCTGCTCTCACTCAGTTTAAAGTGCTTCACTTCAGCTGCTGTAGCAGAACTGGGCTTAGAGATACAACAGCGTTCAAGCACTGAAGCTTTCAACCACTGCAGCTTAGTCTTGTAGTCTCTGAAATCCAGTACCAGACAGGGCACAGAAACCAAACTCCTCTCACCCTTACAAGTAGTCCCTTCAGGTCACATAGAAAAAACATTACGGGACGACATAGGGAAGTTTGAGTTGTTGCTACCTACACAAAACTTTTCAGGGTACAGAAGACTTCAGCCTCCAGAGCTGAAAATTCAGTGCTAGCCTTGCAAAATTTACTATAGAAAAAGAAAATTGCATTAACCTGTATCATAATCATATTTTGCATGGGAAATATGCTTTTGAGACTTGCATCACTGGGAAGCCAGTTCGCTTTCTCTAACTTGTCAATAGTTGAGCCATATTTACACATGAAATAACGAAGTGCCACTTCTACTAGCAAACAAAAATCCCCACAAACCTTTTGTTTTCTAATGCAATCCAGAAGCAAAAGAAAGAAAGCAGCATTCTTGTGATCTATTTGCCACATGCTAAGAAAGTAAACTATGAATTATGAGCGTCTGTCTTGTATATAGCAAAAAAAAAAAAAAAAAAGATTCTGATTATTGGGAGGAAATTAATTGTCTTTTTACTTTTTTACAAAATTTTAACTACTGCTTCCTGCGTACCTGTTGATATAAAAATGCAGATATTAACCACTACGTTTAATAAGACAAACTAAGAGGGCTTTATAACTGTTTGCAAATATCTCTTCCAAAATTACTTATTTTACCGTTACACTCAAAAGGCACCTAAGACAATGGGTAACTTAACATGGAATTACTAGAAAACACAGGTATTATGATCAGGGCCATTCAGTTCAACAGAAACATCAAAATTAGTTTCGGTCACCTCAGCTCCACGTTGCATTACCTATAGCCCGCAAAATACACTGCAAATTCACAAAAACTTACATCATCTAAACACAGGAGTCCACAGTTATTAGATACAAGTGCATTTCAAAGAAAAGATGTGAAGGAGGAAATAAGTAATTTTTGAGAATTAAAAGTCTGCCCTCTGATACTAATCTTCATTAAGAAGTATTTCTAAATTAGGGTCCAGATGATCTGGACTTTATCTTTGTATTATACTAAAATTACACTTTTTAATTAAATAAATATATTTTGTATCAGGACGCTCAAGATAAAGGGAGTTTAAGCATTATCCTTGAAGATGACTGTGATTTTCATTTAGAAAATGAAATTTAAACTAATTGTAAATACCTGCTTATCTCACTGTTTCCAGAACTACAATATTTTCGTTGCACCTAACAAACTACAGATTACGCCTACTAAATCAGTACTGCCATCTTTATTTGCTCACTATAATTGGAGCTTTGTAATACGGGCTTTCAGAAAAGCTTTAAAGATGACAAACAACTTCCTTTGAAAAGAAAAATCTTATGCTAAAAAGTTTGTACTTACGCATTTACAGTGTCCTTAAGAAACAATTTACTTTATTATTAAAAATATATCAAAGAGCAATATGCAAAACTACCTTTCTTCCTCTTTTTGTTTCTCCTCTGCTTCTTTCTCTTTACGTTTTTGTTCTTCTCTCTGTTGTTCAAGCTCTTGAAGCTTTTGCCTTTCCATCTGGCGCTTCTTAATCGATGCATCACTCAGGTGTTTTGTTGAATCAAAAGAAACCTTTACAGAACAAAATTTAAACAATTTTTAAGTTGACCAAAAAAACCCCAAATTACAACAACCACATCTTTATCTAGTGCAAAGGTATCCAAATCACAGGACACATACCATCAGAAATGGAAAAACTGCTTCAGAACAGAGGGAACTCCAGAACACTCTTAATTTAAATGTTTGCACACACTAGCACAATTAGGTACCAGCTTACACTTCCGTGTGTGCCTGACTTTTAAACGTAAACCTTATGTGGTTTAGGCCCTCGCTGGCTAACGGTTTCAACTCATCAGAATAGGAACATACAGAGCTCTTTCAGCTCATCTATACAATTGCAGACTGTACAGCACTAAGTAGAAGTGGGTCTTAAAAAGGCTTTCCTTTTGGTGTCACACTGTGATCCTTAAGTTCAGCAAGAGGGGGAAAAAAAAAAAAGCTCTAAAATATTTAGCACCTGGTTTAGCACTTCCTTACCAATTTTAACACAAAGATTCCCAAACTGAGGTACGGTGTGCTGTTGTCTGAGGCTACAAGTTTGAGATTATAGGAATGCAAGGAAAAGGGAGGTTATATATAATCTGGACCATAAGACCTGGGCCTTCCAGGACCTAAGGGCGCTCTGGTCATGGTCGATCATGTGCTGGAACAGGATCCCAGCATACATCACACTCCAGGTGTCCTGATTTCCCACACTAGATACCATCTATGCAGGCATAGAAAGATCCATAGTGTGTTCCCAAAGACCCCCTAGCCAGCGGAAGATACAAACCATGGGGTGCAAGGCAAAGAGTAAGTACTCCACAATTTATTTCATTCCGACTGTATGTAAAACGATGTTCCACTAGCAGGTTAAAAGGATGGACAGAGAGAAGCAGAGTTGGAAAGGTCAGAGCATTGTAACTATGTATGAAGGAGATCTGTCCTGATAGCACAGTTGCAAACATTGCCCTCTCCCTTTCCTATTCAATCCCCAGGGCAGCTGCCAGGAAAGCATTCCTCCTCCTGCATGGACAAACTAAATTTGGGAACCCTGATCCAGTGTATGTAAGTGACAGTCTGAATTTCACAACCCCTGGAAAATAAAAAAGTTAAGGTCTAAAGAGTTTCTATGCTCCAACTGACAAGCTTTGTAACAAGATTACAGTATTCTACTTAATAAAATAAAACTTAAATAAGTATTTACATGTTCCCGTATTACAAAAACGAATAGTCAAGCTTTTTCCTGAAATACACATCCTGATTTGATGAATGACTATGAAGTCCACTGAAATAAGTAAGCAAACATTTCACTCAACTGATACATAACTGGATGGACAAACTCCAAGTATATCAGAGCAGTCGTCCTTAGGCCATACTTTCATTGACATTACATCAGAAGAGGACGCGTTGTCCTCTCCTGCCATAGTTCTGTTTTCTAAGACAATGAGGTTGCACAAAAAGAAAAGATCTGGAAATCTTGGTATGTAAATATTATGAATTCAACATACTGGATTCACAGGAAATTGTGCTACAGTTTAACATGTACTTTTTTTTTTTTTTTAAGGCCTTTCCGTACGTGAAGTACACTAACCATGATCAATTGGTGCATTCCACAGGTCTTATAGGTCACAGACTATTAAATTTCAGAATCCTGACACTTGTCTGGTAGACCTCATTGTCAGTGTAGGAGGCTGTGAATTTCTCCCCCAAAAATTCCATTTGTGGTGTACACAAGAGGACATTTCATTTAAGTCAACCTTCTAGCGAAATATGTCTGAACTTGTTCAGAATTATAATTTTTAAGAGAAATGACAATATTTATAGATATGTATTAATTTTCAAAAATCACAAATCATGAACAAGTCATACTCATGTATTTGGTCCTTCCATTGAGAAAAAGGAAAAAAACCCCACCCATTCTGTGCCTAACATAACACATTTTTCTTCTTTCTATCATTTTCCTTTCAACATTCTATTACAGCTAGTCCACAGGATTTTAGTGGCATCTGTTCTTTAACATGGGTTATTATACAAGAGCCTGTAGTTCTCACCTTTATATTGCAAGCCACTGCTTTGCCATCATCGCCTTTGTACATCAGCTTCATCCCTCGCAGGGCATTCATGGCCTTAATGAAACCTGCATATTCCCGATATTGAACATAGGCTTCAAAGTTTAAATGGCCTCCAAAACTAAAAGTGTGGAAATTTCTGCCAGTCATTTCTTCTCTATAAGGGTCCAGCATAGGTATGTCCACATTACGTATTTCTCCAAATTTCTTGAAAACTTTTATGAGAACTTCCTCACTTGGCTTTTCTGAGCCAGAATCCTTTGCTGCAAACCATTTACAAGGTAAGCCTTCCAAATGAATAGTATCTGGTCTTTCCCCTGGCAAAGTTTCATTCATATCTTTTGCATCACGAAAAAAAGAGTCCCAGTCATGTCTGGTGGGAAAGTCAATCTTATACTCTGCAGCACGGACTTTCAAAATGTCAGAGAAGCCACTCAGCTTTATTGTTTTGCCATCAAGGCATGCCAGAAAAGACTTCACCAAACTTTTGTTTTCAACCTCTCCTTCAAACCGGATGAAATCCATTGTGCTTTTAGAAATCCGCAGAGTAGAAAACTGATGAGTTTGCACCATACCTTTCAATCTTTCCATAACTTCCCAGTTTGAAATGGATTTTCCTGGTTGTTTCAGCTGAGGAAGTGCCACACTGATGGTCATTTTTGTAATGGGCTTAAGATATAACCCACAGGGAGCACAGAGCTCTACAGCTTCTGATGTATCATGAACTATTGTTGCAGCAGCCATAACACAGAAAAAGCATAGGATAAAAAGAATAAAGATGAAAGTTTAAGTTGTAGGCCAAAAAATGTCAAATAAAATAGCCCTTATGCATAAAGAATTGAACTCCTTGGACATTTAATCACTCCCAAGTAAAACCAATGTCTCTTAATATAAAAGTCAATTAGAGAGTTAAAATCAAGTAACACAAGCATCTTAAATTACTTTATAACCACCTGAGCCCATAAACAACTAAATCTCAGTAAGGCCTCAGAAAAAACAAGACGCTGAGGACAATCTAGGAATAAATGAAGTTGGTATGCGATGGCTCAGAAAGCAGCTACCCTTTTTTCAGGAAGAAAGGAACAGGAGGAGTGATGTCACACGGCTTCGAAGTCTACTTAACAACACATAAACCACAGCAGATTAGCACTGAGGACAGACTCCACGCTCTCCACTCTAAAGACTCATAGGGTATCTGCAATGAGAGAAGAACACTGCTTTTTTTTTTTTTT